GTAGAATTTCTTCATTCAGGACTTAGATAATTTTTCTAAGTCTTTTCTCACTTGTCCGCTTTCTGAGAATTCCGGTCTTCAGTGAGTCTTCCGATTCTTAGCTGACAAATCCGGATGAGTCATTTTCAGACTTCCGGGTGAGAAAGAGATCCGCGCTAGTCTTCCGATTTGGATGACTTAGACTTCAGCGGGTTGTAGCGAGACATCCGGTTCTTATGTAGTCTTCCGGATCAGAGGATTTTCGTTTGTTTGAGAAATCCTTACTTGTCTCTGTCATTTCCGAACAAGATATCCGATTTCCATATCACTGAATTTGATTAAGTCTTCAGGCATCAAAACGCTTAAAGAAATATCACAGCTTTTATTGGAAATCTCAAGAGCTCGGTTTTGACAATATTTCTAAAAAGAAAAATTACATTGAATATTGGGGGAGACCTAAAGTCCCTAATACATTCTAAATACATTATCATCAAAATCTATAATATTTTTCCCAACACCTACAGTTTTTACCAAAATGCCTGAGTAATGGTCCGTTTTCTACCCATTTGAGTATGTGGTCTTGTTAGTATATTCATTGACCTATGATTTCTTTGCACTCAATGTGATGTTGTTTATACATTTATGTCGTTCAATTACTACCCAAAAGTTAGAATGGACCCAAATGGAAAAGGTAATTTCTTAATAAGAACTGTCAATGCAATTCTTACAGAACTAAATAACACAGTCATGAAGTGTTAGGATAAAGAACTGCTCTTTACTTACGTGTTACTTGATTGAATATCTTTATGTAGGTCTTCATGACTATCCATGCTAGAAACCGGCATTGGGTTTTAGCAAAGCTTGATTTCCCCAATGTGACTATTTGGGTATATGATTCGTTGAAGGGTGCACAGAGCAAATCCTATGTGCGTCCAATCGTTGAAAGACTGCCTCCCCTTTTTCGAACTGTCAACCATGGAGAGTGGAGGTCGCCAAGGATGTGCCCCAGCAGTCCGATGGAAACGCATGTGGTGTTATGATCCTTGCATTCGCGGAGTACCTCTTGGCTGGTTTGCCCCTACTTCCTGACTGCACGCACGAACATGTCGATGACTTTCGTAGGCAATATGTGCAGCACGTATATTTCGGAAGACGGTCACCTAAAGCTTTTACAATATTTGTTTTTGATTAACGCAGAACCATGACTGCTTATCCCTCCATGCTAATATATGAAAGACATTTTTTTAGCCTTTTAATGATTACTCACTGTATGAATATTTATTTGCGCATGTAAAACACACATATATTTTTGGATTTGAGCACAACTATGACTGCTTAAGTGTAATATTATTATTGTCTCAAATGTTTGAACATAAGCAGTACCACATGCACATTAAGTGTTGGTGTGTTGAAGATAAACAATAACACATGGACAGTAAGTAATGGTGTATTGAATAGAACCCTAAATACACATATGTGAAGTGTTGGTGTATTCAACAAAATCAGTATAATACAATTTGTTAATTGTACACAACCACTTACATCCTAACATTAAGTCATGGTGTTTTTAACAGAAACAAGAGGACACAGACATAAAGTGTCAGTGTATTGAAGGGAATCAGTAACACACATATATGAAGTGTCGGTGTATTTAACTGATTCAGTACAAAGCACATATTAAGGGTTGGTTTATTCAACCCAACCAGTAACACTTCCTATGTTTACATCTGGGTGTATTTAATATAAAAATTAGCACACATACATTAAGTGTTGGTGTGTAGAACATAAACAGTAACACACATATATGAAGTGTTGGTGTATTGAAGAGAATAAGTAGGCGAGATATTGAACACAACCAGTAACACCCTGACTGTAAGTCTTCGTGCATTTTACAAAAAATAATTACATCAACCTGTTCAAGTGTCACATTATGAAATAATATTCACATATTTAGTGTTCAACTTGCCCACAAAAAATAAGTATATTTACATCATGTGTAAGTGGTGAAGACAAAATTACACAGGTATTACTTACCAAAAAACGTGGGAGTAAATGCATAACAAAAAATTAACAAAAAATGATGGCCCATATACTGAATCATAGCCTGAGATCAAGACTTGGGCAAGTTTGGTCATACACACCATCTTCTCCCGGCCATTCCCACGTAGGCAAATTTTCACTTCCTATGTCACCAATGTTTGGAAGAAGGGTCGTCGATGTCTTTTTAGAGTTTCCCCGCTTGGTCTTGTTCACCTTAAGGTCGACATTACTGTCCAAACCTGCACACCGAGCACTACATGTTAACTCTTCTGTTTTGCACCTACATAAACTGTCTGTGTAGGCAACCCTTGGCAGAGTTGCACGTACATAAATGTCAATGTCCATTCAGTGTTTCATAAACAACTCCATATGTACAATTTACAATTTATGGTGATTGCACTAGTCCCCAAAGCCCGCTGCAGATGCAAGTCTCCCTCGTCTTCTAATAGGGTAATGAATGTAGTTTCATCATGTGCATTCGTTATCCCTGCAAATATGGCAGCAAACATTAAACACCACTCTTACTACTACATAAATTGAATATCATACTTAGAAAATACAAAGTATTAATACATGACTCTTATACACTAAAGAACTTAGTGGGATGTGGGTTTAATATTACTCCATCACCACCAAAGTCACACATTTCATGTGCTTCACATTCATCTATAAAAAAGCTCACCACATTTAATCAAACTGACATTATATGTAGGTGAAACCTACATACTACTTCTTTGCACAAATATAAAGTGCTCGTGCAAAACATAACAAAAAACAGAGAATAAATGCCGATCCTGACAATATCTGTACGTGAAACCTACATATTACCTCATATCACATTCATGATTAGTGGTGCAAAACAAATAAACTAAAAGCAGAGAATAAATGTCTGACCTGACAGTCTGTAGGTGAAACCTACATACTACCCTATTGCACTGACCTAATTGCTGGTGCAAAACAAGTAAACCTGAAAGTAGATAATAAATGCCCAAGAAAACAAAGTCTTTTCAATGAATGAACATTTCCTACCTGTTTAAAACTAGACTCTAACATAACACAAACATTTCATGCTAGTGCAATAAGAAATAAATACTAACCTGTGATAAGAGGAGATGTTGATACAGCTTCATAATTCTCCTGTGGTTAAGCATCGAATCTAAAATATTAGTTGGGAATGCATCTCCCTTGCCCCATCGTTCTTCACTTACCGCACCTTGGTCCATTCCTTTTTTCAATGAAGGCGGTTCTTCACTTTCTTTTTCCGGTGAAGCAACTCGTCGTTGCACCACTCGCATGCCGTTCTTCAATTTCTTTTTCCGATGAAGCAACACGCCATCGCACCACTCGCACGCTTTTGCCGGTATGATGGATTACTTGGGCACGAAATGGAAGAAGAAAAAGGGGGAAAGACGGGGTGGGTGAGGACAGAGATAGAGGAGAGAGGAGAGAAGATGGTTGGGTGGGATTAGCTTACTCAAGGGGTGGGGGTATATGGGGTACACCACTGGGGTACAAAGTGGTGTACCCATAGTACGATTGTTTTTTATTTCTACACAAGACTTCGAGATTGTTGGCCGGGCCAATGGATGAAGGTAGGAAACAGTGTCTGACAGGGTATGTATACCTTGACCAGTGGATGAAATACGATGGAAAGTTTGGGGAAGGATACCCTAAAAACATTTCATGATTGACTTAACACATGTTTTAGAAAAAAACAATTATGTAATTAAAAATAGAGTTGTACTATCGTGATCTTATTATTCATATTTAAAATGTAGATTTTCTTACATCTTTTTTTATAAACTCGCCGTAGCTATATCCCTTTCGTTTTACAAAGTATATTACATTTAATAATTTCATATCTGAAGTTCAATATAAATTTTTTAATGCGTACAATAAGTTTCATATAAAACTTTTTTATGGGGCAATATATAAAGTTGAGGTCCTTCCGACACAATACTTGCTACCATGCCTCGTTCATGTGTACATTAATTTTTAAGATTCGTATCATTTATTGTCGTGCACATATTTTTACACGCACTCTGTTATTTATGATATACACAAACATGTTAGCTTGCCGCCTTCAAGGCTAAAGGGTTTTCCAAGGAATTTGTGCCTGCGCCTGCCCACTTAAATCATCAAAAGTGTGCATTCTTAGTGCATTCTTAGTACATTGAAAAATCAACAATTAATATTATACTCCCTCCGTCCCATTTTATAACGCGTGTTTCGGTTTACGATGTTTGACTGAAATTATTTTCAAATCATTTTATATGAAAAATGGTATAGAGTTAAAAAATAAAAATTACATATCAAAATACCACATCAAAAAATCTACAAAACTAGTAGTGACAATAATATTTTATTTTATCAAATTGCTAACGAAAATAGAGAAAGAAAGTGAATGAAGTTTGACCCTGTGAATAGTTAACATGCATTATAATTTGGGACGGAGGGAGTAGTAATTTGCATAACAAAATTATACTCCTAAAAAAGTGTTTTATATTGAGTATGTAATATGTATATTAAAAATTAAAAACGTTGAGCCCAAAAAATGAGTTAGGGCTCGTAGGACACCTTGAACTACCTTCGGGCCAACCCTGATATGGAATGAAAGGAGTACTATTTTTTGACACCCCGGTGTCTCACTGTTGGGTTATGGAACCCGGGGGCCTAGGTAACTAGGCGGATGAGTATCGAACTAAGTACGAGCGCACAAAGTATGAGGGGTCAAGTAAATTGAGAGTAATAATGTGCTAGTTGGAATATCAGTTAGAACGTCCGTCCCCCTTCCCTTAGAAGGGAAGAGGTTTATATACAAGTTACAGCTGGGGTTCCGACCGTTGGTCCGTAATCCAACGGTCTGGGCCCACTAAGATTGGGTTGTTCACTGGCGGCGTCCAACCACATAATCAACCCTAGGACTGCTACACAAAGTAGGTTACAAATAGGGTGGCTATAGCAACTCTGCCAGAGGCATGGCAGGAGTCTAATCGTGGGCCCCTTGATCCTGACTAAGCCAGCTCCCTCGTCTAGGTCCGGTCTGCCGCTGCTCGTGGCCGAGGCCGAGCGCCTGACTTGCCTTCGGAAACCTCTGGATGGAAGGCCGGCCGTGGTTGCTCCGAGGATGACCAACCCTACCGGGGCCGAGTGCGCAGTGCTGCCGAGGCGCTCTTTGCTGGTCATTTGTCCTGGTTCTGTCAAGTAGGCCTTGACGAAGTTGGGCTGGGCCGTCTTCCTGCTGGGCTGGATACCCCCATTCCCGGGTATCCATCATGAGTCCCCTACTTCCTCGGCTGAGCGCAGCGAGGCCGAGGGAAGTAATCCAACAGTTTGGATCTTGAATTTTTTGAGTTTCAAATTTTGAAAATCTTGGCCATGTGTAGGAGTCCCCCACTGCCCAAGTCGAGTACTGACGAGGGTTGGGGAGTGACCAACTGGCAAGATTTACACGTGTCCCCTCGATTCTGAGAAGTATGATTGCACCGCTTGGGAGATGCAACGTCTCTGTACTGTTCCTTTGTCAGCCGTTCACGATGATTCGTGATCCTACGCGTAAGGAAGCGCCACGTCTCTTCGTAATCGTGCCTTTTCATCGTGTCGGGTCGGGTCCCTTCATTGTATAAAATTGAGAATTTTCCCAATCTTCTCCACTTTTGCCATTTTTTGCGCCGCAGCTTTGCCGTTGATTTCGTTCACCATCTCCGTTCGCTTCCGTCGCTGTCGCAGTCCAATTTGAAGGTTAGTTCCCTCTTCCCCGTTCTCATGGCGTCATCTGATTCCAATCCTTCCACTCCCGCTGTCGACTCAGCGGTGGTTTGCTTTGAAGAAATGTATCGTCAAGATCCCTCCCTCCGCCCCGACGGCTTGATGGGAGGAATTGACCATTCTAGGGTTTTGAGCGCGGTGCCTCTCCGCACGTCCGTCACCGTGGCGTTGTCGTCTCGGGCGCCGCCCTTGAGAATGAAGAAAAAGAAATCGAGGGTTGTCAAGAGGAAGAACCCGAAATCCTTACCCGTTACCGTGCTGGAAACGGGTCTGATTACGAATACGGGTTGTCTTCTGTTGGATATTGACTTTGATGAGGCTCTCCGCTTTGTGGGAGACGGTTACACAGTGCGCCGACCACACACAACCAACCATGTTTTCGCTGTGACCTGTCCCGACGCCGAGATCGGGGTGCACGTGGCGTCAATGCGCTACGGCCTTTGCTTCCCTCCTCACGACCTGATAGTCCAATTCTTGAATTTCTACCTTCTTTTGCCGGGTCAGCTCAGTCCCCACTCCTACTATTGTTTCTCAATTTTTCTGATTAAGTGTCATCAAAGGGGAGTCCCCTGGTCTTTGGACTTGTTTCGTTATATGTTCAAGGTTTCCAAAGTGGGGGCCAATGAAGGGAATTCGTATGCCGTTGTCTCTTCCCAGGCCGAGTTTGGTATGGCCGTCTTCCCCTCGTCCCTGAAACTTTGGAAGGCCAAGTTTGTCTTCATTTCTGGCTTTCCCGGGGACCGGCATCCTTTCCACGCCAGGTTTCCCGAATGTCACACGTTCATTCGTCATCCTCGGCCTGCGGCCACTCCTGAGCTTCAGGCACACGCGCAGAAACTGTTGGAAGACTGTCGGCCTAAACCGCCTCACGTGTATACGGTGTGTACGGAGCAAGACTTGGCGGAGGTGGGGATCCTTATCTCCCTCGAGCGCCAATTCGAGCTGGTCGAGGCCGTGCTTGGGAGTCGCCCTAAGCACGGGCTTGAGGAGAGTGCCCCGATGTCGGAAGACATAGAGTCGGAGGACAACGAAAGGGAAGATGGCGGGGAAGCCGGAAACGATGAAGAATCGTGGCAGCCATCCTGCTCCGAGGGGGATGCTGGTACGAAGCCTTCTGGAGATCTGTCCCTCATATCAAGGTTTTTCCTATTTTATGCCAAGTCTTTTAACTATTGTTTTGTTTTGGCAGGAGATATGAATCCGGTGGATGTTATTCGCAAGGCCAAGCTGCTGGCTCGAAACCGAGGCCGAGGGCGGAGGTTCAACAAGGACCTTCACTCGTGCACGCAACTGGTTCTACTCCCTCGGCCCGGACTCAGGAAGCGACTCCGACTCGGAGTCACAGAAAGAGGAAGCTCATCCAGGTCGAGGACGAGGAAACCGTGTTCGAGCAGGATGTGGTACTGACCCAGAGTCCAACGAGCAAGCGCCCAGTCGGTCTTCAAGGTGAAAAAAGTCCCACTTCCCTCGACAAGGCCAACGGGAATGTGCAGGCTGAGGCCGAGGCTACTTCCCTCTCCGCGGCGCTCAAAGACGAGGACGAGATCCTTTCGTCCTTGCAAGGGCTTATGGACAGCTTCCACAAACAGGTTAGGTTCTTGACGTCCTAACTCTCCTTATCTGTGCGAATAACTGACTCGATTTTTCTCAAGTGTCGGCGAAACTGAGCTTGATCACCGAACGCCGAGCCGGGGCCGAGTTCTCCTCTTCCGTGAACTTCTTGGCTTCGGTGGAAACAGAGTTGTCCCGCCTACGGAGATTGGCAGAAGCCGAGCATGAACGAGCCGCCGAGCTTGAAATGCAAGCCGTGGCGAAGTCCGAGGAGGTGGTCCGGCTGCAGGGCCTCCTGAAAGAGTCGGAGGAATCAGCCTCCCAACTGACGGCTTCAATGGCCGAGCTCGAGGGGCGACTGCGCCAGTCCGACGGCCGGATCTCCGAGCTGGATCTTGAACTCGCCGAAGCTGTCTCCGCGCGACGGTCAGTGGAGGTGGAGCGAGATCAGCTTCTTGCCCAGAGGGAGCAAGCCGTTGCTGCCGAGAAGGAGCGTGCCATCTCTGACTTCCTTCAATCCCCGTCCTTCAAAGAAAACTGCCTGGAGAGGATGGCCGCTTATTATGAAGACTGGCTCAAGACCGAGGCTGGCACTGAGAAGATGGGAGTGGAAGGGACGAAGTGGTTCGAGAGCGGCGTCTATCATGGGATTCAGCTCGTCCTTCGCCGGACCAGAAGAGTAGATCCGTCCTTCCCTCCGCCTGGGGTCGACATTCCTAGCCTTAACGCCGAACTCGGAGAGAATCTAGATTAACTTGGGACTCCCGAGCACGAGGACGCGGGTGCAGATGGAGTCGGCGACGAGCTCCCCTCAAATGCCCTTCCTTAGTGTTTTCCTTGTAATGCTTGCAATCTTAGTCTTCACTGTAATAAAGATTTGTTACTATTTTGTTGCATGCGTGAACAGTTGGGCAGATTTCTGACATTATTTATTTGAATAAATTTGAATTGCGCCTTTTGAGAACTAACTCTTTGGCTTCCCCACGCAAACTGACCTAACCACTAGACCGTCGCTTTGTGCCAAACACGTGTCATTGCGCACAGTTCTACTTCTAACCACCGCGACTGTTCAACTCCCTTATCCCTTCGTTCATGGGCCTATAAATTGGCCTTCTTCTCTTCGCTCTTCGTCGTTGAACTCCAATTGACGAGGAACCTTGACGGTGCGGCGTCGGAGCAAAAGTTCGGGGTTTCTGGTTCCCGGAAGAATGTTCTCACCGCGAGAACGAGTGTTCATACAATTTTGAAGGTTAGAGGAAGAATTCAAACAACCACCTAATGATAACTAAAAAGATAATATTCAAGAAAATATATATATATATATATATATTTTTTGTGTTTTGGAAATATTACCTTTTATTAATATTTATTTATTTATTTGTTGTTGTTTTTTTTTTAAATAAAAGTTGAACCTAGGAACGCTTTAATAAAGGGAAATAAAAGTTTAACAAATTAAGCGGGAAAATATTTTAAAGTAAATTAAAACAAAAGTATTTAATGTTTTTTTTATATGAAAATCGTTTCTATCAA